GCAGCCGCAGGATCATTGCCCACACGGACCTACTTTCTCCCTCCAGATATCTTGAAATCCAGACAAGAATGCGGGTTATTTATTGGCAGATATCAAGGATTATCACATAATCGGAGTTGAAACAGTTAGTCTTATTTATGTTCTTATACTGCTTCTCGTTGCGGCCCGTACACAATAAATAATTTAGCGAAAATAAAGTATTTCAGGTGGTTTTTTCGTGTTTGTCACGTTTTCCTCTGTCTTTAAAAACGTAAACCCAAGAACACAACCTTCAGATATTGCACGGACAGCTATGACCTTAGGTTGTTTCAAGGAAGAGGTCGAGAGAGGCTTACATTTGCACCTTGTTGTCAAATCGAAAATAAACGCAATTCTGATGTGTGTGGTGCTGCAGGGATATTGAAGATCAAGCGAAAGATCTGGCAGTACTGCATAATTGTACCTGTAATCATCTCTCACCCGCCTTTCCTGTTTGAAACTTAATATAAGTACGTGGAGTTTTACCTCCACGCCCCTTGTAAGATTCTGGCTTGGGCTTACCTGAGAGCGCTATGGCGACCTTTTCAACCCCGCCGAGTGGAGCTAGTGCGTCCCTTGCCTTGCTGCCGAACAATTTCTCCAGGTAGTTGGGTCCGTGGCTTGCAAGGAGAGACTGCAGGAAACTTGCTGTTTCTTCCACAGGTGGCCTTTTTGCTGTGGATGAAAATAAACAGAGCAGAGTTACCAAACTTTCAGCCATACCAGTACTTTAAAAGTATTTAGAACTCTTTATCCAATCTTAAGATATTTAAGGACATTTTTCAACTACAGAACGTTAAATGAGATTTCAATATGCGAGATTTTCGACGGCGGTTAATATAATGATGATAATTGTATTCTTTATTGTTGCACATTGTAGTCTCGTAGTAATTGGCGGACGTTTCATAGGTGCTTAGGTCGATGGCCCCGATGACGGAGGCACTGAGCACCTCAGAAACGCCTGCAAATTCCTACGAGACTACATTGTGCAACATCCCAGCATACAGTCATCTACAGGCGGGAGCGTGATAATAAACATTTCGTAAGTATTTAAGGATTTGGAAGGAGGCAGTTATAGATTAAAATAGTATCTCCGTATTCTGCCAAAGAGATGCGTTAAATACACGAAGAATTGGCAGTGTAAGTGGTAACCCGGACGAAAATCGAACCGGATACTGCGCCAACACCAGTCCAGAGCATCATTGATATGTCCGTTTTCGGATTTGTCTCCATAGTATTTCCGCTGGAAAATAATGTTCATAGTATGGACAGTGTATGCAGACTAAAGTAGCTAACCTTCGCAACTGATTCAATCCGAACATAACCCGGATGTGGGTGAGATAATTTTGTCTCTTTTGGTTGTAATGATACTGCAGTCCTTACTTGTGATCTTTAGCATATGATTCGATAAATGGAAAGGCAGAAAAATATTCATTTTATATTATCAGGAAAATCGTTGTGAGGGAATAAACGCATTTAATACATTTACCTTCTGTTTACCATATTCAGTGTTTGAAATGCAAACACCCCACGTGTTTGTTCAATATGCACAACCAATTTGTGTTCACATCGCGTAAACATAAAATTCTGTCAGGGTGTCTCTTTTATGTTTCGAGTTGTGCTTCTGCCTACGGATTTTATTCAGAACGCAGGAATGAATATAAATAAACAATAATAAAATTAATGATACGAAAGTTTCATAACGATATATTTTTAGCTGGAAACCGACGTTTAAGGATAACACGTAACAATACATGTTACGAATAAGAATAAAGAACGCCTAACAGACAGGATTTAAAGCAATATCAAGAAAGTTTGTTTTTATTACGGCTACGCGAGACCGAAGGTTAAGGATGGAGGAAATGTTCTCCAGCTATGGAGGATAGCTGAGAATATATTCAATAAGTAGCCGCGGATAGCTGACAAAGGGTGGTCCTTCATTTTCGGTGTTAAGTGAGGGCTAATAATGCTTCGCCACACAAAGAACAGCGTGTTAAATTTGCAAAATTCTACACAGAATTTCAGAATTTAAACTTATTTTGCATATGTTTAAGAATTTCTTCAACCATATAGTACTCACTTTAAAGTATACTTGTTTGTATTTAATGAATTTAAAGTCTAATAGGGTAGGGAGACGCGGAGAGGTTGAATTTAGTATTTAATATTTACTACTCTCGGAATGTGTATGAAATTTTTTTATTATTGCTGTAATGAGAAATCTAATAAACCATTTAAGAATTCTAGGATTAGTTTTTCCAACAGAAATACTTATCAGACTGGCTAATAAGTATGTGTGTTATTTAATTATTATTTGCATGGAAACAGATCAAAGCCCGATTTAAATTTCTTGCCTAAACATAAACACTTTTGTATATTTATTCTTTCCCAGTTAAATCAATTAGAACCACCATCTGTTAATTAGTCCGGCGTCGTGGCGTGACGCATGAGCCCGTGGACACACCCAGCCACGATGTTTTCACAGTCTGCACACGTTACGTGTCGACAGGAGTGCCAGATGAATTCACTCCAAGTTCTTCCATCCTATTTCTTCCAATTGGTCTTGTTCCTTTAAATTTCCCAACCAAACTTTTACATAAAATTTTCTTATCTGTGTGTGCCACATGTCCCGCCCATTTCATGTTGAATGGTTATGTCATCTAAATAACACATTTCGAAGAATAAAATTGTTTTATTCTTTTTATTATTCTTGGACGAACTGGGTTTTTAGGATAATAAAGATTTTTATTTACTTCATACTTTAATCGTAAATGTGCAGTTTAAATAACATTGTAATGACTTATACGATCGTCTGACTTGAACTAAATATGACGTTGTCAAAGCCGTAACAGAAAGAATATGTAGATATTCTGCACAATGGTTAATTGTGGGGTGGATATGGAAGGACATTCAGTTCCAGCTACCATCAATGGTAAGAGTGGTACACGTTTAAACATGCTGTTTAATCAGTTACCTGTTAGCGGTAAATAAACATACGTTTAATAAACTGAAATTGTGGATATCTGAAACACCTTAAATAGGTTTAACGCTACTTAACAATCAGAAGCTTAAAAAGGAAATTTTGACTTGATAGGTTGTGAGATAGCAAAGAACGGTACTTACCAGGTGCAGCCAAGGGGCAAGCGGGACTGTGATATGCTCAAACTTTGCCAGGGTGATACGCCAGCTTCTACAGAGATGTGCAATTTAAAAACACACGGTGCTCTTTCAATATACTCAGTAGCATAATGTGAAAGCATGCAGACACATATGTCATTTTCCAGCACAGGTCGTTAATACTTGGGCAAATTTTTAAATGAAGTCAATACATCGGGGTAAGTTAAGTTGTGAAAGTCACTTGGGTAAGGCGTTTGTTGTGTATTCTTCATTAACGCCTCGTGCATTACTTTTATCTCAATACCACACCATGATACCGTGTAGTGTTGCTGATGGTTGCCAAAGTTTGCCATCATACTGCCTCCATATGGTGCCCAAACGTTTGCAGGCAGCATGTTTCTCCTGAAACGTCTGCTGCCACTTGCAATACTACCACGGAGTCACAAACCAAAAGACTACATCTTTAAATCTAACCGTCGTGAAAACCCAAAATCTCATAAGGTGACAGTGTCTTGAAATTAAATAACGTAACTGGGTTACAAAATACTGAGACAGCGTAAAATAAATACGTAGACAGAGCAGTTTAAGGTTGAATGTACATTTCGCAATTTGAAGGCATTTTATTATACTGAGTACTTCACACTTAATCAGTTTTTTGCTGTCTTACAACGTATCAAGACTTGAAAAATCTTTGAATTTTCAGTGTCAAAATAAGTTGGACTGTGTTATCAACATATTTCCACTGTATAGCTCAGTGTATTAAAGACCCGTGCTGATGGGTATCACCCTGCCCAGTGAGACCGCGTGGAGGTGTTGAGCTACTCTCACCGGGGAAAGGATGAGGTACAAGGGATGCAAGGTTCAGTGTGCAGACTGAGAGGGTCAGGGCTCACAGTGCAATCTACCATACCAGCCAGGGATTGGGTGCAACAGGCCGAAGCGCATGCGCGCCCAATTCTACGTGCGAGTGCTGCAAGTCTTACGATGTGGATGCAAATAACCTCTTGGCTACGTATGGGGGACTTTAAGATTAACTGAACTGACCAAAGGAAGTTCACAGAAGTAAATAGCAATGTTAAAGCTGATTTATGCGAATTTATTTGAATATGTAATTAAATTCAGTAATGCTGTTTGGATACTGGTGTTTTTCTAAATAATTTCCATTTCCGTTTAAGTATGACGAAGTAGGGCATCGTGATGTAAAATAATGTATTTAGGTTTTAGTATTATATGAGTTGATTTCTTATATCTCACGTAACTCCCTAAATGGAGTGTTTAGGGCAACGTGCTAGTTAATTTTTATTGCACGCTATAGTAATTTTTTAGCTTATCTCACACTCTGGAAATGAAATCTAAATTTTAAGACTTTGAAAATGGTATTTTCATATTCTCTTATATTTTGTCTCTTCCAGACGTATACATATTACTAAATTAAAGTTATTTTGGTTTCTGTAATGTCTATAGAGAGTATAAAATGACAGCTTTATTATTTTTAATGTCAATATGTGACATCAAAAGTCTATCAGAATGTGTTGTAAAATAAAATTAATCCTGCACTCTCAAAGGGATTCTGAGTTCAATAATTGTGACTGAATCGAATATTCCAAAACATTTCACAATTTTTTTAAAACAAGTCACTTGTACTTAACATGAAGTAATGTAGCTACCAGTGCAAAGGAGGGACTGAAACAAAACACCGTCGCTGTAAATAAACTACAACGAATTAAGTGCCGTCTGTATTAGTATTTTACTACTCGTTTTTCGTAACTAGAAATATTTTCCTTTGAAGAAAAATTTTACTCGCATATTCGGAGTTAGTTGTTGAGGGTAACGGAGGGCCGCTGTGATCTAAGGCATCCTCGTCTCCACATCACACAGCCTAGTCGTGGTATGAGTATTGGGTCGTCTGTGGAGGAAATATTTGGCCATAATTTTGTTTAATTTGAGTTAGTATTTTAATTAATCCTTCAGTGCGCGCATAGTCGCCGAAATTTGAGCAGTTAAATGGTATTTAACTCACCAATCAGCGTCTATGTGAAGTTAGTAGAATTTCGCAATGTTTAATATAAAGCTGTTGATACAATACGTCGTTAAGAGACAAATTCAAAAGAATTATTTAAATATATTTTATGGAGGCAAATAAATCTGCGTGTTCCATAGTTGTATTTACGATAAGTTTTAGTTTTTTAAAGCCCATAGTTTTAAATACTTACATTACGCGTAATGTTTATACTTTCCACGAAGTTCGGAATTTACCTGTAAATTTGTTTGTTTATTGTTATTATTATCATTAATGTTCTCCAAAATGCTTTTGGAATATGTTTACTTAGCAAAACTTTATTTGTTTAGAAATTTATTTCCGTATCTGTTAGTTTAAATATTTGATTTAAAGTGTACGGCCATTTTTCAGTACCGAGAACATTATTTTTGCGTTTGTATTTGTAAAAGTTAATGAATCTGGTAATGTAATGCTCATCCACAGAAGTTTAATGCTATTATGACGTCAGTGAGTTGCGACATTTTCGGTGGAAGTTTATTCTGATTAATAATTTTAGATGGTAAACCCACGCTATAAGAATGACGTCACTAGTGGAACTAGCCGCGTTTAAAATCAATAAATATCTAGACTCTCTTTCAGTGCATTGAATGATTATCTATGTCAGTTGGAAGTAGTTATGTAGGAGTTCTTAACCAACTCATTATAGGTGTAATTATGTTGCTGATTTTGGAACTGAAAATATCTGTAACAACTATAAATACCGCTTTTGCTTTTGAATGTAAAATTTAATTCTGCATCATAAATGGAGCAGAACTGATATCAATGTATAAATCACTTCAAGAATTGTAACTGACATAGAGGTAAAATTTAAAATTATATTAGATAAGGAGTTTTGATGGATTATTCAGATAAATTCATCGTACATTGTGTACTGATGCATTAATATTAAAATAATTGACAGTGCCCACTGTATTCTTAGAACGTCGGAATGGTAATCGATTCTCAACAAGCAGCGAATTAATGACGCAAACACACTCTGTTGCTTTTCCTTTCGTCTGACGTGATACCTAATAAACTTTCCATTCTTCTCGAGCAGCACACGCGTGGCACACTATCGCATGCTGAGATATCGATTCTGATCGTCAATTATTCAGCACTTTTCCGCTATAATAGACCGGCAGCACGAAACTGCTCCTCATGCAACAAAAATATAAGCAACGTCTGTGGGAAGTAAAGTATAATTTAGTCGATACTGCCACTTTGTTAAGGAAATAGACGTTTCAACCCCAAATTTTAGTTTCATATAATTAATAAAATATATAAATATCTTAAGGTGCCTTTGCACTGATTTTTTCTATCAGTTAAAGCTATGACATTTCTAATGCTTTTTTCTACTATGACATACAACAATTTTGGTAAATGCAAACATGCCCAAAATTGTGTCATTTTGTTATTTATAGACAAGCATAATTTATTCAGGAGATGTGCATTCTCCATTTTCACGCTGGAAAGATTTTCTCGCTCTCGTGACTCCTTTATAGGCGTGTTACTATGCGTTCGTCATAATGAGGTTTCATTTTGTATCACATCATAAGATAACCATCAATATGGAGACAGCGAAGTCACGTGATAGTGACGTTGGAAAGCTTGGGAATTGAGCACGACTTATATGGGATCGTTTAATGTATACAAAGAGGTGATTTAACTTTTTACCGTAAAAATTAGCAAATAAGTTAATTTATTAAATGTTTTCGTGTTATGCAGTATTTGTAAAAGTGCTATTTTGCGCAGAAAGCAGCATCTTAAATTTACTTTTGAAAATTCTTATTTAGTAAACTGAATTAACTTTGTTATGAGGTTATGTAAAATTGTGGTGAATAGAAATGTAGATTTAAAGAAAGGAAACAACAAATATGATACGTTACGGACACATTCTACTGAAAGTTCGTATACTCGATATTAATCCATTATTACTTTCTTTCTTTCGCACGCTTACAATTTAATTTGTAGTGTTTATTGTATAGTACTTTATTTCCTAAATAAATGTTTGTGTCTATGACGTACAAATAAGTATGTCTAAAATTCAGCAAGATAGGATTCAGAATTCCGACGAAAATAATCAGAAGTTGAGGTTTTCGCGTGGTTTATTGAAGGCGATTGCGAAAGCTTGCGTTTGTACTATAACAAATTAATGGAATAAATAATGAATTAGATTCTACTGTCAGACGTATTATTATATTATTATAATGTTTATAATTTTCTGGCATTTGACTCAGGACAGGGTCGTGTGGCAACCTTGTTTGTAAAAGGCAATCAAATTTTGGGCTTAATAAACAAGCGAATTTCTTGACCGCCTGAACTACACCACATTTTCAATAAGAGCTCATCTGCACGAAAGTAATTTGTTATCCTGTATATATATTTTAAACGCTTTCTTATGAAATCTGGCGGTGGCTTGGTTCGTTGCATTTATATGCCCTTAGTAGCCTATCAGAATTCACGAAAAAGGCAACATGCAACATACGGGTAACAAAATGTGCTTGATATAATGTTACCACTTGCCGTTACAATTTTAATCGTAATATTCGTGTTGCAAAACGAAACATTTTGAAACTGAAGCTAGAAAGAAACATTGCGTTAAAAGAGTGAGTGAGTGAAATGGCTCATTATCAGTCTGTTCTATAATACAGCATCTTGTGGTAGACAAGAAGCTGCTTACCGGCTGTGCAAAGTCGAGAATCCTCGTCGTAACCATCAGGACAATCAGGTGCTCCGTCGCATAGGTACTGGATGGAGATGCAGATTCCGTCTCCAGGACATCTGAACGGTTCATAGGGATGACACGCGTCTCCTGAAAACAATAAAGACACAGCTGCAGTACCCCGTCATTATACTATGTTATTCGGCTGAAAATTGTCAAAATTAAGTACAATATTTTTTAAGTCCAGACTACATAGCGCAACAACCCTGAAGACATAAATCTTCAAGTCCAGATTAGTTCGTCCAGCAAGCCCGGGAGATTACGTTTTTGTCCTCATATCGGCCATCTGAAGATGGAAGCAGAACCGACATCCGAAACCTTGTGGCTCTAATTAAGAACACTTACACAATGGAAGCCCAACATAATTACTTGAGATATGAGATTCTTACGACGGTGATGATGGCGAACACTAAGGAATATTCTAGCCTTATAGAAGTCTGATAAGTGGCAGACTATATTCTATGTGGCTTTGTCGAGTTTAATCTGAACTCAACAGAAACTGTTGTAAATTTATATTAAAAATATGGATGAGAACAATTTCGTGCATTTTGGCGACATTGGAATCCTTAATGCAATTTTGTTTGCATTACTGTTTTGTGTTGATTACATGTATGATTAACTGCCCGTAAGTATAGCGTATATGAACCATTTGGCAACCATGATTATATACCAAAATTTACTAACTAGGTTGAGTGTTACTGAACTACCCGTGATGATAAGGGCTTTTGTGTCAAGTGAAGGAGAGTACACAACTGGTTCGATAGTTATCGTATGGCAGCTGCATCGGATGAAACGTTTGCAATCGACTATGCTCAGGGCAGAATTTGAACCTGCACCTAGCGATTCTCTTTATTAACCTAGTTATCTGACCTGGCCAGAGAGTAAACACTGACACGGGTAGGCAGAACCACTCTTTGCAGAAGTCTGCAGTGTTCCCACATATAACATGTACTGTGCCTTGTACCTGCAAGGCCGATGTGTGCGTTTCAGCAAGCACCTCAAAGCTATGTAACCGGAACAGGCGGTGTCACATATTACTCACTGTCCTGAACATGCGAACTTACGATATGATTAAAAATGTTTCTCTGTAACTTATATTTTATCTGCATGCGAAACTTGATGTTTTAAACATATGGAAAAAGTATTCTGAGGCTAGAGGAAATTGTACTTTATTAGATTAATAATTAGCAGATAGTATTAAGGAGATTAAATAAATTAGGTTAAAGTGGAATAAGTATGTAGCACTCATGGAAGAGATGAGAGATGCATGTATCTGAGTGAGAAAATATTAAAGGAATGGACGAAGGCTAAATGGGGGATAATATTAAGATAGACTTTGAGATTATGGTCTGGATTCAGCAGGCTCAGTGCATGTCCTGTAAACACGGTACTGACCTTCGAGCTCCAAACAGGTGAACGATTTTCAATTTGTGAATAAATACCCTGCTACATGGAATTGATTAGAACTTAACGTCAGTAGTCAAACTCAGCTCCGTTTCCTTTTCAGATAATTGTCCTCTTCCTCAGAGTTCTAGGTGGGCAGTTCTCCTTGAAGGATTTTTGTAATATGAACGGAGCTAAGTGTCGCCTTGTAACTAATCCAGTAGGTGTGTTTGGAACCTTTATCAAAACATACGTTATTTCAGGTTTAAATGCAATATAAATTAATATTTCATTTCAGCTTCCCAAGTATACGTATAAGAAATTGCTAGTTCAGTAAATCGAATTTGAGTAAATTAAACAATATTATAAAGTTACATGAAACCTGTAATAGTTACAATATTATCTTTCTGAGTTATACAGTCGCAGTTTAAGTACTTATCATGGCCTTTAAAAACGGTTCTTTGAAATTCAGGGACATGTTAATAATATACAAGTAAAAGTTTTCTAATATCTAACTTACTGAACTTCGAAATTTTGTTAAAGGAATATAGAACCTATTTAAACTCTGAATACTCAATGTCTTTCGCTGCTTTCATTTCTTCCCGAGAGTTGGCAGAAAATTAATATTCACTAACCCTGTGATGCCGTAACTTAATGTCAAATGTGATATATGCTACAGCGCCCTCTTTGTATTTTGTACTGTTGACCTTCTGGACGTCCGTAGGTGTTTTAAATACAGCTTACTGTCAATTAAGAAATTTAGTGAATTTACGTTTATTATCATTAAATTATCATTTAATTATTATCATTATGTTCGTTTCGGCGTTCATATTTTCTAAATAGTAGCAGACGTTTTTTACAACTAAAAAATTATTAAACACTACGCAGTATCATGAAGACTATTATGAAATTATTGAATGACGTTAATGAAGAACAGAATACTAGGGCAAGGTCTGAATAAATAATATAATAGAGTATAGCACACAAAAGGATGAGAGATAATCATGCCCTGTCACACAAAATTGTATAGATTTAGCTACTGTATGCACATTAGCTTGTTAAATTATGTAATAATGACAAAAAAATAAACGACAAGAACAAAAAGTCAGAGACTTTGAATCATGAATGAATTTGAGAACTGCTGTGCAGTTACTAGAGAACACAAATTTTAATCTGCCTGCGGATTATTACAATGTCATAGAGCTACTAAATATTAATGTTTCTGATGGATTCAGAAAACCTGAAATAGGTTGCATTCAAATAAACAGACAGTGAAAGAAAGAAAGAAATATGAATGTGTTTCAAACTGTGTTTGGAAAACCGAAGCTTTATAAATCTCCAGGAACTGTTTCAGTTCCTGGTGAACTAGTCCAAATAGGTGTCACTACATTGCATTCAGACGGCAGTGGATAGAATCTGTTGTTCCCCTTATTCATAAGAAGGTAGAAAATACTGAATAGTAATTCCCGAGAATTCTCTTTTTTGTCGACTGTATACAGCATTTTATACATTTGTATAATTCGGCTAAAACCATTCGTGAATGAAATTACTCGTGACCATCAATGTGAGATCTGTTACAACAAATCTTCCAGCAATGAAACCCTTTGCATTCGAAAACTTTTATGAATAGTGGTTGTGTAGTAGATCAGTATAATTGCTGTTTATGTATATTAAAAGCAAATGATTTATTAAGAGGGAAGTAGGCGTACTGCAAACATTCTGATTGGAACTGAAATGTTATAAACGTCTTAACTTGTTGAAAATTTGGGTGCATGTGGTATGTGGTGTATGGCAGTTATCAGACGCATTAACATTCCATAATAGGTTTTTTCCTTTCTGCCTTTAAATTTTACTCTGCAATATTCCATCAGAAAAGTCTAAGAAATTGTACGGAATATAAATAAAAAATGGATTATCAGGTTCATATTTGCTCTAATTACGTCAACATCTCTTGGGAAACTACAAACACCATTAAAATACCGCATAAAGTTTGATACAGATAAAGAAGAAATTTACATTATGTAAGAATGTCGCGGAGTATATAAATCAGAGTAGGCTGAAAAGTCTTACAAGTTAAACTCTTTGGTAAAAACCCGTAGTAATCAAAATGTTAATGACGAAATTAGGAGACAGATTCTGTAATTGCCTAATGTTATTCACAATAAAAATTTGCAACTGATCATGACGTTTTCTTTCCACTGTAGGTAAATACAGCAATTTTTCATGTAATATTGTAAAATATATTTTACTAAGAGAATGATATAACGTACAAATATTTGCAAATGAAGTGGCTAGGAAACTATTTTGTTATCAATACTGAGGTATGAGTTGGCGAAGAAATTAAAAATAAAAACATCTTGCATTATGTTTAGACAGAAGAGTCTAAACGGTATGATACAGCATCGTTCAGGAATCTTTATACTATGTGACGAGTACAAAAAGCTTCATCAAGATGAATCAGTGTAGGTATTTATGCAGTTACATATAAGACCATAATCGACTTGTGTTAGGGAATTGAATTGAGTGTATGATTTTAGTTCAGAAGTGTTTTGAAGTTGATAGATCTGAATAATGCAATCCATAATTTACTGAAAGATGAAGGGTCGATGGTGTAGGGTTAAAGAGAAGGCTGTATTCTATTAAATTGCTTTCACAGTTCAGCGCAAATCCATCCTTTCAGGATAAACTCTCGCTGCTTGCAAAGCAATTGCAAATGCTTTTGGCTTCAATCCACTTCTGAATGAAGTTTCGTAAGTATGCAAACCCACGCAAGGCACTGAAAATCAGCAATCGAACCATAAACACACACACACGCGCGCGCTATTTAAAACGTTAAAGGACTTTTGATTAAATTTAAAGGACAGGGACTGCATTTTATGAGAACATAATTTTATAATGTCATCTGATGATTATTGTCTCACAAAAATCTTTATGATTGTAATTTAGGAAGTTTGTATGTTTGTTGTTTTGGTCTCCGTGTGGGCCTGCGCTCTGTAGGTTGTTTTACAGACAGAGACCAGTATTTTCAAATCGCCACCAAGCCTTTTTGTATGTTGAGAACAAATTAGAGGCAGGGAATGTTATTACTTTCTATATTTCTTCCGGCCATATTTTCACAGACACCAAGTATGCTGTGAGTATTAATGTAAAGTAGAATATCGGCAGTGGTAACCCTAACTTTACGATTACAATCTGAATTACAACACACTGTAATTTGAAGTTTCGCTGCAATTAAAAATAAAAATTGTATCATAGATCTCATGAAGGTAAACTGATTGTTTAATTTATTTTTGACCAGCTAAGCGATTATCAGTTTCTCAAGAAATGCTAGGTAAGATAGCAAAATGTAAAGATATAGCTGTTCCTGGCACTTTATTTTCATCTTAGTTACACTGGCATTATTCCTTCATATATTGTTTAGAAATAATCACTTAATTAGCATGAGCAAAACTGCTGATGAGTTATAGACATAGATGGAGAAATCAACAAGGTTGACACAGTGCAGAGTACATAGACATTAACAGCAAGATTGCGACTGATTTAAAGCCTAACCACAGTTTACCCGTCTGCATTGAAATACATGAGGAAACAAGGGAGTGGAATAAAAATGCTTCAGTTTAAAATGTCACTTTGAAGTGATTTGAAGTAACAAATTTATTTTGTCTTCTATCGTCTTCAGTGTAATGAAACAACTTATATAAATTGGC